ATGTTAAACAAGCCTGTCCATTCATTTATTAACATCAAGGTATTCTTTGACATATCGATACTAGGTAAAATATTTATACATGCCTGGTGGAGTGCTAAGAAATTTTTGTTACCAAAGTAAGACATGTTTATGGCTTCTCTCCTTTTCTGTAGTAAAATCCCACTGAAGCGTCTGGATATACCATTTCATTCAAACCAAACATTCAGCTCTTCAGTTGACAAGTTTATCTTCAACTGAAGAACATCCCAGAATATTCTCTTCATGTGCTAGGCGAAGATGTTTACAGGAGCTGCACAGGCTAAACAGAAACCAAAGCTTTTGAAAATGAAGAGATGAAGAACACAGCTTTGACAAAATCTCATGAAACATGTTCCTACCATCCAGTATATGTAGCCACTGAGTAATGAGTGAGCAAGGAAGACAGCAGCATCAAATATAAGTATTGGAAATTCCAACTAGAGTTAGAAGCATTGCTTTCATTCCAGATGCTGTCTTTGGCCCTCAGCAACTGCCCCAGGAGTGTGTATGCTTGATCTCTGGGGTATAGGCTAAAACCTCCACTCTTGAGATGCCATGATTCTGTATAGGGACATAGGCCTAGGGCAACACAGGCCTAGGGCCTGAGTTGCAAAAATTAGGACTCTGGTATTCTAGAGGGAATTATAACTTTGTTCAAAGAAAAGGATTATATAAAGCAAGCAAAAAGCTAACACAAACACAAAAGTCTTGGAATCCTTTGAGATGCTGAGAACAGCCTCAGTTCTGACAAAGACCAAAGGAGATAGATCCCTATGTTGTACTAAGTGTACTTCAGACTCTTCCAGAGTTGGGACTGAATCTCCGTGTTTGTGTACTGGAGAAAATGTGGAAGCCTTTGCCTCTTCAGATCTTTTCACTTAAGCTGAATTAATTAATCTAATAATACAAAGGTTATCAGACATTCCTTAAGTGAAAAGCATGCAATGACAATGGGCACCAGGTTAATCAGGAGATTAAAAAACATATACATGTGTTGTTGTTTTTTTGTAGCACAGAAGGTTTTTTTTTTCACATCTTCATACATGTATTTTGTGTAATGATGCTCAATAATCACAAAATAGCTCAATAGTATTAGAAATTAGAGAAATATGGAAAATAAAATCACACCTGTGAGACAAAATTAAATAGTGTCAGTAAACATATAGAGCAAATAAATTCTCATAAACTGAAAAACAAATACACATACACACATTCATGTGAACCCCCCATACAACTGGAATCCATTGTTCTGGGTGCTAGGGTTTATAGGTGCTTAGGTGGAAAACAACATAATGAAACAAGATTCTCAATCTCATGAAGTTTATGTCAAACAGAGGACACAAATATGAAATTAATAATTACAATTTTTTTTCATTACATTCATAAGACAAGCCACAAAGCGAAAATACAGAGGACTTCAAAATTACAAAGTGGGGAACCTAAATTAGTCATGAATGGAGACAACAGATTTAGACCTTTAGAAACATATTTTCCCTATGATTCTAAGTGCTTGTATGTGGAGGAGGGAGTGGAGAGGTGGGTGGGGAAGGAGACAGCAGCAGTCTAGTGGCCTGCAGCCAAGGAAGGAAACAACTTTGTGCACAATAGCCATCCTTAGCAAAGCCAAAATACAGTGACATCAGCGTCTACACATTTTCCATGGTCTCTAAAAATATACTCACTCATTAATAGAGAAACACTATAACATACGGTATTTTAAAAGAATTAATGAGTGGTTGGTGCACTTTGCCTTGAGATTGGGTGGGACAACTGCATTGGGGTGATGATCTTTCCTATTTGCCATGCCTTACGCTGCTGGGAATATGACATCCAAAAGGAAGTCCTTATCTTCTTGCCTCAATCCCAACCATTCATTTCCTGCCTTCCTTCAGTATTCTTATTGATCAGAATGATGGTAGCTGTGAACTGTCCTACTTTTTATTTTTTATTTTTAGCTCTCTCTCTTTTTCTTTTTGACCAAGTCTACATATAAAGAGAACATTCAATTCTCCTTGATGATCATATTCCTTTAGATTATAGCAGTAATTTACCTAAAATGATGGTGCTATTATTGACTGTTCAGTTGCAATTTGTGTGCTTAAAATACTTAATGCTATCTTGTCATTCATAATCTGCTTCATGATAAACAGAGAATTTATATAGTCTGTCAACATTAATGACCGGAGAACCAATAAGATATGACAGAAGAGACTTCCCACTCTTTAGAAATGGAATGTTTCCATCTACACAAATGATAGCATATTGAAAATAAAAACACTATTATATATTTCTACTCAAGAAAGAAAATATGTATGACACCCATGCAAAGAAGGGAATGTTATGGTTTAGGAAATTATTATTCCAAAGCCCCTGGCTTTTCCAGAATAGTATCTCAATTTTGAATATTTATATTTCTAATTGGGATTGAAAATTGATATAGCTAATCTGGGCTCCCAGTGCAGTGTAAATTTCTCCCATTGATGTAACCACTACTTCTCACCCAGATTTTGAATCCCCCTGAATTAAGATCTATGGTGGTAAGACAAATGGATCTAGACCTGGAAAACAGCAATGCAGGTGAAATCCACTCATCCTCTTGGCATTGTTTGTATTTACACAAACATACACATACACATGCACACACACTCACAAACTCATATACATATACTGATATTGCTAACTTAAGCCCAGCAACTGTCCTTATCCATGTCCTCTGCTTTGATAATTGAGCAGTGGGTCTCAAAATGCAAATTTTAGAATTACCTGAGAATAACTGGAAAAATCTCTATTCTCTAATATGGTCATATTTGGGCCTATAAGCTCCCCCTTCCCTTTTTTCCCCCCAATGACTCTTGATGAATCTGAGGTAAATGTTCTAATTCCCTACTTTTTGAACTCTGCATGTACTCTAGTCAAATATTAGGTCATTGTTGATGGCCTCTTGGGCTCATCTCCTGGCCTTCAAAAGGCCATATTGAGAGTGATCATTGCATATCACTTAAGATAAAGCAGATAATGTGACAAGGACTTAAAACATTCTCTGAGATTTGATGATGGACCACATGAGTTAGTTGGTACTGTTTTGAAGGGTTGTGTTGTTGCTGTGGCTTCTGTATTAATCTCAAAATTATTAATCTCAAAATCACTTAAGAAATAAGGGGGGAACATACTATGTGGGATTAGTGGCACTCATGGGACCTATCATCTCAAAATATTGCAAGTGCCATTGATGATGTAGGAGGATCAGGGGCTGGAAATCTACCAGAAGGAGTTGGCCTCTGCCTTTAGTGGAAAACACAAAGCACTCTTTTTCTTCCTCTCTCTCTCTCTCTCTCTCTCTCTCTCTCTCTCTCTCTCTCTCTCTCTGTCTGTCTCTCTCTCTCTCTCATTTTGGACTGTTTTTACTTTTCCCAAAGCATGCTGGATCATGGTCAGGACACTCCTCATGAACTTACATAAATTCTTTTACCAGTATGAAACCAATTGATCCTATTAAGTTCTGTTTTCATGTTCTATTTTTTAAATCAATTTTTTTTATTTGTACCAATTATACATGACAACAGAATGTCTTTCAACTCATTGTACACAAACAGAGCACAACATTTTATTTCTGTTTGTACATGATGTAGAGTCACACCATTTGTGAAATTATACATGTACATATGGTAATAATGTCCATCTCATTTCTCATATCTTCCCTTCCTGAACTTTAATTCCTATTTTTTTTCTGAAAACGAATATTATCATTTTCTGATTTTAAAGAAAAGGGCTAGCGCTTGATTTGTGTCTAAATGTGTTCATCTTAGTGATATGTTAAAAATGCCGTAAATTAGACTCTTGACAAAAAAGAGTCAGTGACAATAATGGTAAATTCAGACAACTGTGGGAAAGCTATTTTTAAATCCTGATTCATTCGGGTCCGGTGTATCCTGAATTATGTGAAAGAGATAAACTACTGAGTACTCTACTGTTTCTTGTTAGCTCTGCCTATTAGCTAAATTCAGTTTATTTAGAGAGGACAGATGGTTTGTGGTTGAACCCAAGGATTGAGTCAGCAGTGACCAAAAGTCACATCCTCATTGCAGCTTGGATTTTTGCCATGTTCCTGACCAGTGCATGAACTTCATTTTGGCCTGGAACCAGGCTCTGATGGTCATAGCACAAGGCATTATCAACCATGGTATATCTGACTTGGCAAGGTTCTCTTCAGAGCAATTCACTCCAGAAGTGAATGGATTAGACCACTTGATATTTTACCCATTCATATCACTTTAGTATCTATGTTAAATATGCTTTCGTATTTTAAACATCTTTTGTGATACTCTTATAGGTAAACATAAGAAAGAAAATATGCTTAGGCATAGGGGAAAAAACTATTGATTTTATACTTCCCTCTCATCACCACCATAATTTAGGATGAAACTATTCCTATGAATCACATGAAATTAGTGATATTTAGACATTTTTCCCTATAAAAATGACAAATTACACATAGTTCAATCTAACTTCATGACTTACTCTGGGGAAAAAGTATATCAGTAAGATATTAATATTAAATGAGGAAAAAGATATAGTATTGAACCTATAGTGTGGACCTAAAGTGTTTTTAAAATTATGACTATGAATTAAAAAAATCATTTTGAGAATTTAAAAACATTAATCTGTGGGTGTCTTTGAATGGTAATTGGAACTGTTGGGTATTTTATTTTATTTATTCTTATTTTGTACAGCAGATGTTTATTATATTTGTTTAATAAAGTTTGCACTTCATGATTATTACATTATACCTTAAGTCATCTTAAAAAATTAGAAAATTAGTAAAAAAAGTAAACTTCCATGATAGAGATTTTGTAATCTCATTTTATCTATTTTATTCTTATTATTAAATGGAATATTGTCAATGTGTCTTAAGATAAAGGTATTTTATGCATGCTTATTGGTCATTTATGTTAATGGCTCCATTTTGTTTACTATTTCTGAAGCTTGGGTCTACTGCTCATTCTAAGACAAACCTGGGTTTTACAAGACGGAGAGAATCTTTGGTCCAAGGATATTCGCTTCAAGGATAAAAAAGTAAGATTTTTTATAAGGATGCTTAAGTAGATATTCCATATTCTAATAATGGGGCAAGTGAATAAAGGTAGAAGTGAGAATAAAAGTGAACACAACTGTAGGATTGACAAGTATTGGAGGAATGTTTGAAGATAGTCATAGTGTGAGCGATCATAAAATGAGGTGGAAGACAGATTTTAACAAACACATGCATCCAGTAAGTTGTATCCTTAGTCTATAAAAACAGTAATCTATTTTCCTCTCATGACTCAAATTGGTCTGATCTTCCCTGGAATCCACAGAACTTTGTGGGAAAAAATTATGGGTAAATTCCTTCTTTCTTTCTCTTGGTTTCTTTTCCATACCTTTCCCCATCCCCAAAAAATGATAGAAATCTTGCAAATAAAGTGAAATTTAGATTGGCTTTTGCTTCCAAACTCATTAAGCATCAATGCTATGCATATGAACATAGGGATGTCAGAGTACTTGGCAAAACACATTTCTAAAATAAGTTTCATAGAAAAGCAAACTGTAAAATAGCTAGTTTTGACCTAGAATTCTTGGTTAGGTAATTTTGAAGTGGCTACTGTGTTATTTTGTGGTGAACAAGCTTAATGAATTGGAAAAGCGAACTTCAATAGATCTCAGACTTGTGTCAAAACAACTCCTTCCCTTAAGTCCCCTGATTGGTTATTTTCTCCTTGTTTAAAAACAACAAACTCATCTGTGGTGATGACTCCTAGGGAACTATTATTTAAGGAAGCCCATTTTATGCAGTTAGGAGAAAAACAGGAGTAAAAAAAATTTCTTCATACTAATTCTACACTTTTCTACACTAAAGCAACACAGTTAATAATAATGCAATGCTTTTAATCAATTGAAGCCCGCTTTTAACTACATTCTTCTTATGTTTCTCCATGTTCATCAAATAATTTTGTAATAATGGGGGCCAAAATTTGCAAGTTGGGAATACATTTTAAATGGGAAATGGCTGGATGTTCTTTCTTTAACTTGGTGGTTTGAATCAAATTTGATTTCCAAATATGGAATTAATTAAGTGGTCTTTAATTAATTTAAGGAACCCGATGAACAGTTTTCAGCTATTCTCAATCTGGAATTATAACCATCTTTCAGAAAACATATTGTCTTCTTTCATCTCTCTTCCTCCCTTTCTTCCCTTCCATTTTACCTTCCATATAGGAGAAAGGAACAGGCAATTTTTCAAAACCACTGATTTTATTCTGCAAGGCAGTGGTTTCATTTGGAGTGGAGACTGCTAATAAATAAGGATAATTTAAATGTCATCATTTTATTGATTTTCTTACTCTTTTAATTAGAAAGACAATTGATCTTTAATCTTTCTTGGGAAGCTGCCATCAGCATGCAAGCCAGAAATTTTTTTTTCCCTTACTGGTTCTTTGTAGAATGACCAGTCTGCAGGGGCAGCATGACAAGAGGAAGACCACTGGGGTTTCTCTCCCTTGGTCTAGTATGTTTTTTTGTGTGTGTGTTTGTGTGTATGTGTGTGTGTGTGTGTGTGTGTGTGTGTTTGTGTGTGCTTTGTTTTTACTTATAGATGGACAGAATACCTTTATTTTTTATTTATTTACTTTATGTGGTGCTGAGGATCAAACCCAATGCCTCATGCATGCTAGGCAAGTGTTCTACCACTGAGCTACCGCCCCAACCCCTAGTATGCATTTTTAAAAGGATGTTTTTCCCTTTGGAAGCTGAAGTCAGGGTAACTTCAAGGAGAAAAAAAAACAGGCATAGGTTAGGAGTTATACCTAAGGAGTTAATAAAAGGGATATAAAATGATGGCTGGGCATGAAGGACTCCCAAGTACAATCAAGCTGCCTTAATTCAAACATAGACATTGCTCTTATTCCAATAGAGACTGCTAGCTTTATATGACCCTTGAATAGGAGTCATTATTAATATATCGTAGGGCATTTATCTTTTTAAGGGAGTAAATAGTAAGTTATTTTGAGGAGCATATTAATATAGTAACACTTTGTTTCTGAATGAAGACAGTAATGCTTATTTAAGGTACTGTTCTGGCATAAAAATACAAATCAGTCTTCATAAGTAGCAGTGATTTTGTTAGCTAATTATAGTTATAATCTATAAATTAATTGAAATGTATTTTAAATAATTCATTATCTCTTAATTTGCTTTTTATGTACTGTATGCATATCCGTGTTTTTTACATAAAAAGAATAAGATTATTTTCCACTCCCAAAGAACCAAGTTTTTCCCCTTGAGGAGCATATTACCCACATGAAGAATGCATACTACAAACATGTTTTGTTGGATTTGAAACTTCTAAGTGGATGAATTACTTTGAAGGAACTATCTAATTCCCTGGGATGCTTGTTTGCCTTGTAAACCTTCCTTTAAAAGAATTTGTAAGAATTCTGGTTGTGGAAATGTACAAGACAGCATTCTCAATAAACAAACTCCCAGGGGGTAACAGGCTTCCTGTTTTACACACTTGGAATATTCTGCGGTTTCCCCCAGGAACTAGTAGGAAACTAATACATGTGCAATGCCTAGCTGTTGTGGCAATGCCCTGCATGAGGAGGCTCTGTGCTAGAGTTTTATGAGCCTTGGCCTTGATCTCAGGCACTCAGCTCCTGATAATAAAGGAACTCTCTTATTAGACAACCACAATGTTTCACCAAGCTCAGCTGAGCCTGAACCTGTCCACATAACAGTAACTTTAAACAATGGACTTTTTTAAGAGCTACTCAAATCTCTAAACATTCCACAATGCAACTATAGTGTATAAGTGAGAAATAAGCTGCATAATGTTGTTAACTCTGTAACCTGCCTAATGACACAATGAACAATAATGTACTTCTGATGCCAGTGATCTAATGTAACCTATTGATATAAATAATGCTGGCAGCCTGGACAAGGGGCTTTTCTGCCTCTCTGCCATTGTGCCATTCTGCTATTCTGCCACTTTGCCTCTGCACATTGCTTCTGTCTCCTTTTGATTTTCTTACAAGAATTTAAGTCTCTTGATGTAAAAAATAAAACAAGTATTCTCATTTGTAGCCATAAACACTGGCCTGAGGATATTTACCTTTAACTTCACAAATGTTCAGGCACAGATTCATCCCTCAGCATCTTCTAGTGACTGCTCCCCAGACCATGCCCCTCGGATACCAATATCTATGCAGGCTCAAGTTCCTCATATAAAACAGTGTGGTGTTTCCATAGAACCTAGGCACATCCTCCTGTATTCTTTAAATCATCTGCAATTACTTATGACACTTAATGCAATTTAAATGCTATGTTACACTGTATTGTTACACTGTATTGTTACACTGTATTGCTTAGGGAATAACGGCAAGAAGGAAACGAGTACATGTTTAGTACAGATGTGAATGTTTTTCTGAATATATTTGATTGGAGGTTGGTTGAATCCATGGATAGAGAGGTTGACTCTACTAATTTCCTAGGTTCTGGGTCTCTTCTCCTCACAGCGTGGCCTATTTAAATTTGTTCCTAGGTTTTTAAAAAACAATGCCAGCCTCAAGCAAATGGTGTGTACACATTTTTTACATCAACATCATTGGGCTCAGCACAGAATCACATGTGTGTGTTGCTCTTGTAATTCTGTGGCAATGGTCCAATTGTAATTACAGGGACTGCCTTGTCCCAGGCCTGTTGGGTACTGGTCTTGATTACATCTTTTTTCCCTTGGTCATTTTGCTTAAATTCAGATGCTCTATTCAACTCTCCCCTAGCTGGGATCCTCATTGTTCTTGCTCTTCTGTTTTCTTTGCTTTCTTCTTTTCTATCTCTCTTGCCTCTGAGGTGAATACTTGCACCTGATTACAAGAGTTGCAATGTTGGCATTATAGGAACGTTTATAAAAATTACAGTGGAAATGCTTTATTTGTGGGTGTAGATGTTGGTGTTTTCCTGCCTTGAAAGAGCCAGAGAAAACTGCAAATATATCAAGGCTCTTTTGTATCCTAAATGCAGAGTTCACTCCCTTTAATTCATTCTCGAGAGAATGGAATGGTCTAAGTTTCCCTCATTGGCTTCTGCTGTGAGAAACTGTAACAATGGGTAAAGAAAATTCCTAAAACTGACTAGTTCTATTTCCTTAAGAAATTAACTTAATATTTGCTTAAGAAAAGTAAATCAGTTAGATCTTTTGATAGGGAACTCATTACCTAAGTTGACAAATGAAGAAATTCAGGGAAAAACCTGAGGAAAAAAATATAACTTCATTGGTGCTTTAAAGAGCTGGGGCTGTAGCTCAGTGGTAAGTGCTTGCCACCCACGTGTGAGGCACTGGGTTCAATCCTCAGCATCACATAAAAATAAATAAATATACTGTGGGTTCATCTACAACTAAATAAATATTTTTTTTAATTGTGCTTTTATACCCTAAATTTTGAGTTCTAAAACACACAAAGTTTATTATTGAATTGAATTGATGTCAGTTTTTCTGGCTTTTGACTGTTTCTTCTTTTTCTCTTGATCTAACAATGAAAAAAAAAAAAAAGAGGCAATGATGAAGACCAATCCAGAATAAACTATTTTTAATGAGATCTAGTAAAAACATGTAGCAAATCAAGCAACACATTCAAATAAAGTGCTAATTTAGCTGCATTTTTAATCATGATGTCCCTTGTGACATGGATTTTGAAACTAGTGATGGATTTCGTATGCTAAGTAAAGTGGTGTGGTGGAATGGCTGGGGGGATCTTATGATGTAAAGTTAGGAAAGGGAGTCACTTCTTTTTTATATAAAACTTTCTCTTTTGAAATTCATTTAATAGTGTTTGGTCTTTTGGCTGTGCTGATCAAATAGACATAAAATGTTCTTGATACACTGATTCTCCATATCTCTGTGGATCAAACTCCAAAGCATAAGTTGCCTCTAATTATCTTTCTCTAATGTAGTACTCTAAAGCTATAATTTGGAGAAACATATCTGAGCACACTATTCCAACTTTCTTTGTTCCTCAGTCCAAATCATTCTATCCTGA